AATATTGTGATATACTGCAATGCCATTAAACTGGACATTTAAATTGTTAAAATGGTAAGTTTTATACTATGTATGTTTTACCACAATAAAAAATAAAATTTAAAAAGAAAGTGTTCTTCCTTTTATGCCCCTTCCCCTCTTCCTCTCATACTTTTATTACCTCTTGAATAATGAGATCTGCTGAACTCTGCATTCTTCGGCGTTTCACTGGAGATTTTTGTTGTGAATCTACCATAGCCCGGTAGGTCATTGTTTGTAATTCATAGTCCTGCATGAAGGAGTCAATAAGATAAAAAATGAATCGAAGCAAAGCACTGGAGTTTCATTCTATAATAATTTAACATAGATAATTATAACCTAGATTCACTAAATTAACTTTAGTGATTTAACACAGATAATTAGAACCTAGATTCACTAAATTAAGTAAAGAAAATATAGTCATGTGTCACATGAGAACATTTCAATCAAGGACAGACTGTATGTATGATGGTTGGAGCTGAAAAATACCTATCGCCTAGTGATGTCATAGCATAATGCATCGCTCAGGTGTTTGTGGTGATGCTGGTATAAAGAAACCTACTATGCTGCCAGTCATAAAAAACTATAGCACATACAATTATGTTCAGTACATGATACTTGATAATGATAATAAATGACTATGTTACTGGTTTAATTATTTACCACACTATAATTTTCATTGTTATTTTAGAGAGTACTAATTATTAAAAAAAAAAAAAATAAGGTAACTGTAAAACCGTTTCAGACCAGTCCTTCAGAAGTATTCCAGAAAAAGGCATTGTTATCACAGGAGAAGACAGCTCCATGCACGTAATTGCCCCTGAAGACCTTCCTGTGGGATTTGGAGGTGTAAGACAGTGATACTGATGATCCTGACTCTACGCAGGCCCAAGCTAATGTGCATGTTTGTGTCTTAGGCTTTAACAAAGACGTTTAAAAAGAAAAAAAAAAAAAAAAAATCAAAAATAGAAAAAAGCTTACAGATTACAGATATAAAGAAAGAAAATACTTTTTTGTATGGCTGTACAATGTGTTTGTGTTTTACGCTAAGTGCTATGGCAAGAGTCAAAAAGTTAAAAAAAAATTTACAAGTTAATAACGTAAAAAAGTTACAGTAAGTTAATGTTAATTTATTATTGAAGAAATTTTTTTATAAATTAGTATAGCCTAAGCACACAGTGTTTATTAAGCCTACAGAGGTGTACAATAATGTCCTAGGCCTTTCCCTTCACTCACAACTCACTCACAACACCCAGAACAACTTCCAGTCCTGCAAGCTCCATTCATGGTAGGTGTTCTATACAGGTGCACCATTTTTTATGTTTTATTCCCTATTTTTATTGTACCTTTTCTATGTTAAGATACACAGACAGATAGAATTATGTTACAGTTGCCTACACTATTCAGTACAGTAACATACTATAGAGGTTTGCAGTCTAGCAGCAGAGGCTGTACCGTATAGCCTAAGCGTGTAGAAAGCTGCAACATCTTAAGTTTACGTAAGTACACTCTGTGATGTTCGCACAACGAAAAAATCACCTAACAACACATTTCTCGGAACATGTCCCCTTTGTTAAGCAACATATGACTGTATTGCAAAATTACATTTTTAGGAATGTATCCAATCCTGGAGATGCTTCCAAGGTGGGGACAAAATCAGAAACATGGAGGGTGGCCAGTTAATTTCCCAAGTCTGTTTGGAAGCTCATGAAAATATACGTAACAATAGTGTAGCCCTATGCAGCCCCCCTTTCCTCCACTAAGCAATGGAACTATGGATCTGGAAGGCTAAAACTGAGAAGTCGTCAATGATAACTTGAAATGCATGAAAAATGTCCCATAAGTGAGAAAATTGGAAGTTCTCCCATGGAATGCCCTAACAATGTTAAAGAAAAAAGAACGTGAGAAAAGCAATAAGAAACCAACTACATGTATTCTGGTGGCTGGGGGGTGGCATGAGGTGCACGTACATGTGAGAGAGAAGACGTATGAATCAGGGGGCTGTCATGTGACTGATTTCACAAAGAATTATAAGTATCAAAAAAGTTCAAATGAAGATTCCTTTTACTTTTTAACACTGAGTGAAATGACTTGCATGGCTTTAAAAGTACATTACAGAATCACATACCTGAATATTAAATTTTACTAAAGTTAATGAATCTTCCTACCTTCACTGTGGCTGAGTACTGTTCTGCATATTTTTGACACTCGTCCATTTTGCTCTGTTTCATTTCTATTTCAGACACCAGCATCTATAAATATACACGGTTTAGAAGAAAAACAACAAAGAATTCAGCTATTCTACTACATAAGATGCTCAGGAACATATCTACTACACCACTTCACAGTATAGCTCTTTAGCCCTTTGCACTTAATACGCAAATTGTCTTATGGATAAATTACAAACTTTCAGATTAAACCACAGAAGTGACCCACATGTGGCTTTTCAAAGCAGAAACTACTGAACTCCTGAGGAATTTAGTAGTTTCTAAATTCCCACCCCATGTAGCTTTCAAAGTAGAAAATACTAAACTCCTGAATTATCCAAAAGCAGACTTGATGCCCTTGGCCACCACCTATTCCTAAAAACAGAGCTAGAAATGACTGGCTACTAAAGATAGAACAAAAATCTCAAAGCATTCAACTTTCTGTCAAACGTGGTATTTAATTTTCCATTGCTAACCATTTTTATTTATTTAGAAACCCAAAAAACTACTGCGGCCAGCAAAGTATCACAGAGATATCCATACTTATGATTAAATAAATTATCATTAGAAATTTGAAAACTACCCCAACATTCCACTTTCTGATTACCCATGCTTTCAAAAATTACTTCCAAGAAATAAAAATAAGTCATATATATAGGTTTGGGTTGCATGATTTTAATATTTATGATATACTTCCTCTAAAGAGTTGGTGACTTTTTCATTCAACATAGAAAAGGAAGATGAGGAGCATGACTGACGAAATGCAGACACAACCTCAGTAGAGGGAATCATTTTTACATACCTTCTGTTGATTCAACTGTGTGGCCAGGGTTTTACTATTTTCTGGCTGATTTTCCTGAATCTTTCTCTGAGTAGTTTCAACCTGCTGGATCCAGTCATCTAAAGGATGGTAAGTATCTCTGTAGTACTTCAGCGATTTGCCAATGCCCTCTAAGTCCCGTAACCTAACAGAATAGTAACAGAAAAGTCACAGTGTCCAACAATATCCATCAGGAGGGTGGAAGATGTAGACAATGGAGAGACAAAATAACTGGACAACAATGCACTAAGCACAAGAGGGGTATGTATACACAACTCAAGGCTGCAGCACCCTGAGGCACACCTCCAAGGGCACTCCTTAATGGCTTTGGGTTGAACATAAATATTTTGCTCTTTGAGTTGTGCAATTTAGTGACAGTGATTACTCTAAAGACAAGCCCAAGAGGCTAAAGCTAAAAAGCAAGAAATGTAGAAACTTAACCATAATTATCAATTATGGTGTCTTGAATAGCTAAGGCTTGCATCAAATGGCAGTTCAGTTTTCAAATAACAAGAAGGTAGTCCAATGAATGGTTCAAGATGGTCTCAGACAGTATTTTCTAGGAGGTGTGATTACACACCTGTCTCTATGCCTTCAAAAACCACCACATTAAACCTATGTATCATATTTGTTACAGAGATAATACATATTTGAACATAACTTTACTTTTCAAGAATGGTACTGTATCAAAAAAAGCATTTGCATTAATATAAGCATGAAAATGAAAGAAAAAGAACATGAATTCATTTATTTTAAGATGAACCCTAAAACCTTTTTTTTTTTTTTTTT